ATGGCTGCCAAATCTCAAGCATCTGGCATGACACTCACGCTTTCAGACTCACGCTGGAAATCGTACAGCAAATCTATATTATTTCATTATAAAACCTAAAATTAGCTACGTCAAAAGTGTATTTACACGGTTAAATACAAAAGCAGACTATTTACAAGGTAAAAATTGTTATATGTGTGTGCAGACATCTCGAACTGAAAATCTCACTCCAGCCAGCTGGCCGAAGTTCTATGTCACGTGACAATATTGTCAAAACGTTTTTGAGTTGTACTGAATTAATTTGATTTCACAGTCAGGTACTGATTATATGCAATGTTGGTACAGCTAATAAGCTACTTAAATATATATCACACTGTTAAATAGTTAGACGTTATGATATTCCGGACCTTTGCTTCAAGAAATTTTCTTTAACTGGACCTCTTTAAATTTCAGTTGAATACCCCTGACTCAGAGCTTACCTTCATAAAAAGGACAATTGTTTGCATTTTTGTTCTAGACTTTCAGGCTGCAGTATAACAGAGGAAGGATACGCTGCTCTGGCTGAAGCTCTGAAATCATCACACCTGATAGAGCTGGATCTCAGAGGGAACGACCCTGGAGCATCAGGAGTGAAGCTGCTTACTGATTTACAAAAGAATCAGGATTACAAACTGGAGACGTTGAGGTGAGAAAATAAAAATTTAATTCTGCTTAATGGTTTAATCTGAATTATTTGAGGCCACTATATCACACTGTAGTGTTCCGCTGGTTTGCTGATTATCCAGGAAACAGTGCTGGATAGAGTTTTGTGCTTGAACAGTTATGAATAGTAACAGTAAAGACTGATAAGATTAGTGTGCACTGATTGTGTAACAGATATAGCTGGATAAGGAAACACATTGAAAAGAGAAACTGAAGCTCAGCTAAAGCTCATAACAATCAGGACAAAATTGATAACATCTTCAAAAAGCTTTTCAAAATTATGTTGCATTACCTCAAAATAAAAATTTTTAAAGTCATGATGTAACATTGCTGTGGTAAAGCTAGTTTTCTATTTGCATTTAATTTTTACATTTTTTTTTTTTTTTTGCTAAAAGTGAAGCGTAAAAGAACTCTAAATTTTAAAGTTTGGGGATTCCATATTATCAAGAAAATTTAAGAACTTAGTTTAAAGCTACCCAGTGCTTAGTTTTGTTTCTTTTTGATTGGAAGACTCAAAGTAAATCATTTTCAACAACAGATTGAACCATAAACAATAAATTCATCAAATAGAAACATGCACGTGTGATTTTAGCTAATCAGTGATTGGATTTATAATATACCAAAGTTTCCAGTTTCCTGATCATGCATATCCTGATTTAAAATTTGAGTTTTTACCATGTCTAATATATTCTTTCTTTCTCTGCAGGTTGTTGAAAAGTCCTGCTGCAGAAAAAGCCTTTGATTTCCTTGGTAGCATCCTGAAAAAGAACCCCTTACTGCAGAGAAAACTGGATCTGAGTGAGAAAATAAAGGGAGACTCAGAGGTGAAGCAGCTCTCTGCTCTACTGAAGGATTCACACTGCAGACCCAAGATACTCAGGTTAGTGTTTCTCAGTTATTCACTTACATTTAAATTAAAACAGTAAAGTGAATTCCTTTCAGAATGTAATATCTGTGTTTAATGTTTAACTGTATATAACCTAATTAATGAATATTTTCCATTTTTAAACCTATATTTTACATTAAACACCACATGACAATGTTTAAACAAAAGGCTTCTCTTACTTGTTCTCTCTCTCTGTATCCAGGATAAATAAGTGCTGCATGGGAAGTGAAGGTTGTTCTGCTCTGGCATCAGCTCTGAGTTTAAACCCCTCACACCTGAGAGAGCTGGAGCTGAGTGGGAATACACTGGGATCATCAGGAATGAAGGAGCTCTGTGCTCTGCTGAACAATCAACAATTCAAACTGCTGAAACTGGGGTAATGTTATTCATTACAATAAAATCAATAATATCAGAAAGAGCAGAGGTCTTTAAGAAGACTTTATGAATGCATTCTGGCAATATACAATATCTATAGTGTTACTGTTTATTCTTAATAAATGTAATAATTATTATTATTATTACAGAAAAAAAATATTTTATTTTTTCTGTTTTACCTACAACCACAAGCTGGATTAAGTGAAACTATAATTATTACTAAAAGTAATAAAAAAACTTCTGGAAATGTTAAACACTGGTCACAAACTACCAGATAATCAACAGATTATAATAATATATTATAATTCTACAGATTATAATAGGGTGGTGCATAGGTTTGCAGTGATTTTGAAGAACATTTATTCGTGATTTTCTAAAATAATACACAGAGTGAGTCTTCAGAGTAATCGTCATTAGATTCTCCGGTCCATTGTGTCGCATCTTCCTCCAACAGTTTCTGCAGCTCCTCATCTTCTGTCTTCTTTTGGCCTAACACTTCTTGGTTTATCATCGAGCTCCAATTCACCTTTTCAAACAGTGAACAGCTTCTTGAGAGCAGAAATGCTGATTGCAGCGTTGCTGTAAACTTTGCAAATTTCTCTTGCTTTCTCTAATCTGTCCAGTCTCTCTCCCCCCTCTCTGCAGGTTGTGTAAGTGTGGTCTAACTGAGGCAGATTGTGCTGCTGTTGTATCAGCTCTGAGNAAATCCAAAACATGAGACAGAAACGTAATCCAAGGAAAAGCACGGATCAGGCGATCAACAAACAGCAATAAAGGGGCTAGGTAGAATATCAGAAATCCAGGAAAGGCTATGGTCAAAAAAACAAAACAAACACAGATATATTGTTCAGCAGAGATACTCTCAAGGAAAACACTCTATAGCTTCGCAAGGAGCCACTGACTGAATCTCTCCTTACAAACAGTCTTAGAGTGTCTGTCTTGATTGGATGCACCTGCATCCAATTGGTAGTCCGGAGAGCCAGAACACATGCGCACGTTGGCCATCTTGATCTGTAGTCCATAACCAACATGTACCTGACAGATAATTGTTAACATCAATACAAGATTTTTGTTATGCAACATTCCTCCCAGGCTCTGCAGCGCTACGGAAACGCTGCGCTCCTCTCAGCTGCGTCTGCGTAATCATGGATACTATTTAAGGACTCGCTCGTGCAAAGTAGTTTTAAGGCTACTTTCAGTTATTGCCATGCTTTTGATTTATGTTTCTGTTTACGGTTTTTGCCCTGATTCATATTGTGATTTATATAACTTTCACTTCCTGCTCTGTGATCCCTGCGCATGCATCCTACACACACCCTGCCTAACGTGACAATTTAACATAAAGAAACACCTCTCTATTCTTTATGTACCTGCTGTGTGTTGAATGTTTTTCATAAAGATTCAAATGAAATATTAGAACGTTGCAAAGAGGGCAAAAAAAAATTATGTTCTGCATTTAATTTTCTCTGTGTCTTTTGTAAAGGATCTTGAAAATAAAATGATTGTATTTATAAAACATGAGCTGGACATGTTTAAGAAATTCCTGAGAAAAGAAAACACAAGTTATTATGGAGATGTGAGAGAAGATATGTGGAGTATTAAAGAAACAGCTCTTGATATGGCATTGTACTTTCTAAACCTGATGGAACAAAAGGATCTTGCCGATGCACTCCTAGGTAAGAGATCAAATGAGGACAAAACCCAGTAGACAAGTGGACCATCTATAGCTTCTATACTTTCTTACTATTTCAGAACAGTTATTTAATTAATGTTTTCTTGTGTTTTATTATCATATAACTATAGATGCACTAATAGGATTTCAGCAGAGTGCTCTCAGATCAAATCTGTGTAAGAAGTTTCATCGTGTATGTGAAGGAATTGCAAAGCAGGGAGAGTCCAACACTCTGAACAAGATCTATACAGATCTGTACATGACTACTGCTGGAAGTGGACAAATGAATAAACAAAATGAGGTGACACAAATTGAAAAAGCTGAAAAAAGTCAAATGGAGCAAGAGAAAAAAATCGAATGCAACAGCATGTTTGAACCATTACCTGAAGAAGACAAACCCAGGACTGTGGTGACACAGGGGGTCGCTGGCATCGGAAAATCCATCTGTGTGCAGAAGTTTATTCTAGACTGGGCTGAAGAGAAAGAACATCAGGACATCAAGTTCATATTTCCACTGCCTTTCAGAGAACTGAACCTGGAGAAGAAAGTGCACAGTTTAAAGGACATCATCTACAATTTTTTCCCAAAAGTAAAAGGACTGAGATTCACAGATAGGTATAAAGTCTTGTTTATCTTTGATGGCCTGGATGAGTGTCGACTTCCTCTAAAATTCCATGAAAATGAGAAGGTGACTGATGCATCAATGCCAGCCCCCCTGGACACTATACTGACAAACCTCATTGCAGGAAATCTGCTTCCATCTGCTCTCATCTGGATTACCACTCGACCAGCAGCAGCTGCTAAGATCCCTGCTGAACATGTGCACCGGGTCACAGAGGTGCGTGGCTTCAATGATGTACAAAAGGTGGAGTACTTCAAGAAGAAAATCATGGATGAGACTCTGGCCAACAAAATCATTGATCATCTTAAAAAATCAAGAAGTCTCTTCATCATGTGTCATATTCCAGTCTTCTGTTGGATTTCAGCTACTGTATTGGAGGGGATTTTGAGAGACTCAGAGAGTGAAGACATTCCACAGACTCTGACGGAGATGTACACATATTTCCTGATCTTTCAGACCATACAGGGGGACAAGAAATTCAATAGACAGAATGCTTCAGACATTCCATGGGATCCAAAGGAAATTCTTTCACTGGCAAAACTTGCCTTTAGTCACCTGGAAAAAAACAACCTGATTTTCTATGCAGAAGATCTAGAATCCTGTGGACTTGACCCTAATAACATAACAGTGTACTCAGGATTGTGCACTCAGGAGACCAGCAGATTTCTAGGCACAGTTTTCAGCTTTGTGCATCTCAGCATTCAGGAGTTCATTGCTGCTTTACATGCATACGTATCTCTCAGAAATGAAAACAAGAATGTTTTTGAAATATCAGAGGAGAGCAAAGAAACAAAAGTGATTGATGTGCTGAAGATTACAGTGGACAAGGCTTTGGAGAGTGAAAACGGACACTTGGATCTTTTCCTTCGCTTCCTTCTGGGCCTGTCACTGGAGTCTAATCAGAAGCTCATTCGAGGTCTACTGACACACACAGGAAGCAGCTCTGACTGCCAAAAGGACATAGTTCAGTACATCAAGTCCAAACTTGAAGAAAATCCATCTCCTGAGAGAGCAATCAATCTGTTCTACTGTCTGAATGAGTTAAATGATGATTCACTAGTGAAAGAGATCCAAAACTCCATGAGCTCAGGACGTCTCTCTCAATCTGAGCTCACACCTGCTCAGTGGCATGCTCTGGTCTTTGTGCTGCTGACATCAAAGAAGAATCTGGAAGTGTTTGAGCTACAGAAGTTTATAAAGTCAGATGAATGCTTTAAGAGACTCCAGCCAGTCGTCCAGGAAGCAACAACAGCTCTGTAAGTAAAACATTCTTCATTCGGCTGGTTTTCTGCCCCTAAAGCTTGGTCATAGTTACACTAATGGCAAGAAATATTAATCAGTTGGCATAAACACTATAAACAATGAAATTACATAAACATTGTGTCATGCTTTTTCCTGCTGTCTGCAAATTGCATTCAAATGAATTTGTGGTGTAGTATATAATTATGTGGACACCAAAATATCAGAAGCTTATATATGTGTTTGCTGAGTAACTCATTCCAGAACCATGGACATTAATACAGATTTTCTTTTTGCTGCTATAATGGGTAAAAATATTAAGCGAGATAGTGGTGGTGCAACTAAGGACAGATGATTTTATTACTTCCAAATTCTGCTTTCAGGCTCAGTGAGTGTAACCTGACAGAGAGAAGCTGCTCGACTTTACACACAGTTCTCAGCTCAGAATCCTCCAAGCTGACTGAGGTGGATCTGAGCAGGAATCCGCTGAAGGACTCAGCAGTGACGCTGCTTTGTGCTGGACTGAAGAGTCCAAACTGTAAACTGGAGAAACTCAGGTCAGTTCAGCTCTCCTATTAAACTAAACCTCAGCAGAAGGATTGCTTTTATATCCTCTTCATACCACAAGTGAACACTGAATGAAGTGTTTGGAAAAAGAATTTCAGGTTAATGACTAGATACAACTTACATGTTCAGATGAGAGAAATATTTTCGGTTTCATTCTGATATGAATCCATACTAAAAAAACAAGCCCTGATATAATTATTATATTAAAAACCTTCACACATCAAACAATGAAATAACTGAATGAAAAAGGAGTCATAATTATACTTAATTACATTAAGAAATAGAAAGTAGTTGCAAGGTGACTAAGTGTGAATCACGTGTGTGCGAATTGTATAAAGAACAAAATGTTAGATTTCATGTTGTTAAGGTTAAGGTTAAGGTTAATGTTACTTTATTGTCATCAACGGCTTTATACAAGTACAAAGTGTGATGAGACAACGTTTCCCCATGGTTCCGGTGCAACATCTAGTAACACTGAACATCACATACAACAGGGCAGAAAGGTGCAAACAGGCAACACAATAAAGCTAAATAAATGATCTTCACAATTAAATAACAAAAGGCTTTTATCCTCTTAGACTTTCAGACTGCAGTATAACAGAGGAAGGATACACTGCTCTGGCTGAAGCTCTGAAATCATCACACCTGANAATGGTTATAATTGTTGGTTGCTGCAGCCTGCACTGAAATTACTGTTAATTATAAACCCTTCAGTGATGTTACACTGTTACTGTCATGTTATTGTTTCATCATGTAATGTGATTTATTATGGTTTACTTTCAGACTAAGCAAATGTAGTCTCACAGAAACACAGTATGGTGATCTGGCTGAAGTTCTGAAATCAAACTCCTCATCACATCTGAAAGAGCTGGACCTCAGCGGGAACTACCGTTCTTCACTGTTTAACATTTTTAGTTATTTTCTACAGAATTCAAACTCTAAATTAATTGTGAGGTGAGTTTTTGATTTACACAAATGTCATCTTTTACAACACTGGAAATAACTTTATTTTTGTATCTGATATGTTATGCTTTTTTATGTCTCTGTCACTAAGTTATGCTTTCAGGATGTCCCAAGATATTCATTAGCATGATGTCTCAAGTGCAAGTGGTTGAAAATATTTAAGATTTATATGGTATAATCATCTTAACCAACAGATGAACTGGTTAGATTCTGGAATCTATCTAAACAAGGTCAAGGTCACAGCAAGGTCAAATGTCTGAGACATTTTTCTTCAATAGCTTTCTTCAAGCCTGAACTCTATCTGAAGGGTACTTATATCATACCAGTTAATAAGAAGATGAAGTAGACTTGTTGGTAGCGGAGGTGTCCCTGAGGTGAAGTTCTACACACTTTAGCAATTTAGCATAAACTAAAGACAGTCCATGCCCATTATTGGTGTTGGGAGTAGCTATTAGTATTATATTATTATAAGTATTTTGAATCTGATATTTTTTCTCCTGAAGTTACCTCAGAGAAAATCCTTCACATGATCAGATTTTAAAATGACCTTTTTTTAAATTAAATTATTTCAAATGTTCTAGTATATTAAGTATATCAACTAACAAGGACAGAGAGTTAGAAGAGGTTAAAATGAGGAATCCAGCTGACTGCTCAACAAATTCACTCATTTATTATTAGCTGTGAGACTGTAGGAGGAAACCAACACAGTCACGGGGAGGACCTGTAAGCTCCTTGCAGAAAAGCCCCAGTCACTCCTCAGTGGTGCAAAAGAAAAGCTGTCACTCCCTTATCAGGAGATCGCAGGTTTGAACACCACTGATGCCAAAACCGTCTGTGACCAGATCCTGGAGAGAGAGAAACTGGCCTGTGCTCTCAGGCAGAGAGGAGTAGCATTCTCTCTCTCTCTCTCTTTCTCTC